TACCCATGTTCTTCTCCTAACATAAACGAAAATGCATTGTTGGGTGAAAGTGCTTTCAGCTGGCAAAGTGCATTCTTATTATCACACCATTATTTATGACCACCATCTACACACATTCCTGACATGTCACAGATCCTGTGACTCACTTATAGTTGCTAAGAGGTGCCGTCAAGCCCAATGAGCGATTTGACATCATGTCATTCAGTCTTAGAAGATTGGAATTGCCAAACCTGTAGATGTTTACAAGCACATTTGTTGTCCTGCAACTAGTTGCTTATTTAGACATTGCAAGATGCAATAAACACAAAAATACACATTTCACCAGCAGGAACAACACGTTCTCACTCTGAACTTGTCAAATGCAGCAGGTCAGTGCTTCAAAATATGACACAAAGTGAAAATGGGCTGGGCTGGCAGGAACAAGTGAGCAGAGGATGGATAAAGGAATACTTAGTTTTAACATATCTCCTGTTGAAACATCTGCAGCCACCCAAATACAATGGAGGTCAGTGGAAATTTGCTTGTGTCTCACAGAACATAAAAAAAGATTTAAGAAGTAAACATCAATGCAATTATCCAGAAACAATGGCCTGGTTACACTAAGTAATCTACAGGCATCAATGTGTAAAGTTTTCACTACCTTTTCTTCAAACTTCTATTGCATCAGGTTGGTGGCAGGAAACCCAGGAAGGCCATCTCAAAAACCAGGCAAATAAAACTATGTCCAAGACTAGAGACCACCAGGTGTGAGTGAGAAAATATGCTTTGTGATTTGGGTGAACTGAAGTTTGGTCTGGGCCAGTTCAGGGGCTCCCTCCTTCAAGATCTTTATTTCCTATCCAAATACAATACAACAGGTTGTGCCATTGCAAACACTCTCTAAAACTGTAGCTAAGAAATGTGTCCTTCATTTGCCCGACAAGTGTATCCTGTACTGCCTTCGATATCCCCGAATATGCTGTGTGCTGGTCACTTTATTTATTAGTGCTCATAACCTGGTACATGGTTTAAAGCTAATGCCATTAAAGCAAAACCTTACCACACCCTAAAAAAGCAGCGTTGTTGACGATGACTGCTCTAACACTCAGTTAGTTTATGTTTCTGTGAGGCTAGGAGTAGGAACTTCTTACGATGCTGTGGTTAATCCAAAAGTCACAATTTAAGGTGAAAGTTCCACTCAGTTCACCAAACAGAATTCCTTACTAGACCTTTAAAAGAATGGGCCCTGAATTGGGACACAGGGTGCATAGTATCGAGCAGTGTCACGTAACTTATTCTCTGTTATACAGCTCTTATATATTTGAATTACAAACAGTCAGTTAGTTCCGATTAGTTCCTTACTTGTTCTTTAGTAACTATTCTGGATTTTATGTACCATGTAGTCAATACTATAATTTTGCGTGGCACGTTATATAGATAAATTGATACTAATTCATTGTAGAACAGTTTGCCATCACTCCAGAGGGGGGTGCCCAATACTCAGGAGGCCTCAGTAAAGTACGCTTTCTGACTAGTAATGGCTTTTCTGACTTTTCTTAATTAATCAATTAGTTATTTGGTTGATAAAAAGTCAGAAAATTGTGAAAAATATAGATTATTGTTTCCCAAAGCCCAGGGTGATGTTCTCAAATGTCTTTTTTTGTCCACAACCCAAAGCTAATCAGTTTACTGTCATAGAGGACTAAAGAAACCAGAAAATATTCACATCTGAGAAGCTGAAATCAGAGAATTTGGACATTTTTTCTTTAAAAATCATTCAAACGCTTAATCGATTATCAAAACAATTGGCAATTGATTTAATAGTTGACAACTAAATGATTAATTGTCTAATCACACTAGACCCTAATGCTAATTACTGTATCTCTAAAAGGTTTCTCATTTACTGGTTAGGTAGGCATGACTGATATTGATTAATATATTTAACAGTAAATTGGCCTTACGAGTATTCACAATGATGTTAAAGAATAGAAGATACACACCCACTCTATATATTCTGATGTATGTTGCTAAGGTTTCAACCAGTTATCCCAACAGGCAATCATTTCATGATTGTTTTTTTAAACTGTTCAACTAGTAGGTAGTAGATGGCGTACAGCTGTAACGTATGAGGTACACCTCCTCACATTATTGCCTGTAATCTTGGGTAGGTGTGATGAAACCACCCTCAGCTGACTTTACAGTCATTGCAGCCTGATATCAAATTCATCATGTGATACCAATACGATACACTTAACACCTACGTTTATGTTCTGTGTGCACATGGATTTTCTTTTAGAGTTTCTGTCAGAACTATTGCTTCACTTGAATCTCTGAGTAATACTATTTAAGATAATGATTGTGTTGCATGTGCTTGGTGATAAAACACCTGCATCAGCCTCTTGTAGTCTTTGTAGCAGAGGTGTTCGGGACATTGCTCTCTACAAAAACTAGGTTATGAGAGTGGGTCAGGACAGGGTTGTGTGTAAGTTAAAGGGTAAGAAAATAGATAATTGGGTCCACATATCAGTGACAGCGCTTTGCACTATGTAATTCACGACAGAACTAACCCAAAGTCTACATGGTTTACTTCTTGTAATAAGTATTAACTACATTTGGCCACAAATATTTTAGCATGTAACTGCTGAATTATCACTGATGACCTTGACATATTAGAAAAACAGTAACTTGGACAGGAATATGTGTAAACAACTTGTAAAAATAAAACATTTTAGTGCCAGCCTACCCTCAGACACTGATTATAGTCCATTTTGGATGGTGTATCATTGGCTGTAGAAGGGGAGTTGGCAAATTTGGGCAGGAAAGGACATTATGTTTTTGAAAGTGCAAGTCAGGGAATTTGGTGATTATATATCTTATGCATATAAATCTCTATGGATGAGTTTGCAATCATTGTTCACTGTATAGTGTTGTGTGGGTGTCTACTTACCATATTGATACAATAGAAAATCAGCAGGACACACACTCTTTCTAGTTCTGTGCCTTTTACAGCTCATATAAGCTTGCAAAATACTTTGTAGTCTCTTTGTAAAATTAATTTTACTTCTATACAGTTGTCTCAGCTTTAGATTGTAATCAATGCCAGGTGCAAATGCATGATGTGAAAATGACGACATGCCAAGGGAATGTGACAACTGTTTACACACCAAACACAGACAGTCCATAAAGCCACTTCTACTATTTGTATGAGCAAACATGCCCTTTGCCTTACAGACAGTGCCAGTGTGATTACTTGATGGGTAACTTTCTCGTGCTGGCTAAAATTGGGAATCTGATGACATGGCATGTGTGTTCAGATGCAAAGAACTCTGTTAACTTATAACGATGCATTTGAATCTGTGCCAACACTGCATGTGCTCCTTCAAATGTGTCCAATGTGTAGCACTAAGGAGGATCTATTGACATAAATGGACTACAATATTCATAGGTATGTTTTCATTAGTGTATAATCTTCTCAATATAGAAATCGGTGTGTTTTTGTTACCTTAGAATCATTTTTTTACAGGCGCAGACAGGTCGCCTTCGCATGGAGGTCGCCAAGTGTTCTCTACAGTAGCCCAGAACGGACAAACCAAACACTGGCTTAAGATAGGGCCTTTCAAGTTTTTTTTACGAGTTTAGTGGCCGCCGAAGTTCCTCCTGCAACCTTTAGAGACTGCTCTTATTCCCAGGTCGTCAACTATAGCCGCCAGCAAATCAGTTATATACGTCAGTAAATTCTACACACTGGTCCTTTAAGAGAACTACAACTGGCTTTTATCGTTTTATTCTTTATGCACTTGGTAAAATGCAAAATGTGTATTCTTGCTGCTTATGAAAAAAACTCCAATGCATTGTGAAATGCATTGAGCTGGAATTTCGTTTTATAAATCAAAAAATATTCCCACTGTTTCCCAACGTAATGCCAGCCAATACATCTTTTAGGCACAACTGTTAAGAGAATAAGGATATAAAGAACTATTTGTATTCTCATATATCTTTTATAATGACCATTGTTCTTTCTGTTGTAAGGTGCATTGTCATTGTGACTAAGAGGAGAGATTTTAAAAAATGTAATGGAAAGAAGGTTCATTTAAAATATTTATTTTTTTATTAAAAATATAATGTAATCATATAATTTCAGCACATTATGACAAATGTTTTATATTTAATTGCATTACAAATCATTCATATGCCCAAAATGTATGATATAAAAATAAAGACAATCATTGTAACTTTAAATTGACACAACATTCAAATCTCCATTTCCACCACCCGTTACAGTATACAGAAATTCCTGAATCATCTGTGTGCTCTGCAAACACATGCAATACAGAGGATTGCATTTAAACACAACTAGAGCTTAAGAAAATAAGCTGATTGACATATGCTTTCAGTAGGCCTATTTACATTTTCTAGGTTGTGCTCACCTGAGTTATCAAGCAAAATTTGCTCTAAAAATACAGTAGGGTGATAAAGTGCTTAGTAAGTTACGTTACGATAGCACCTCAATGTCACATTTAGTCCTGGGACAGGGGGTGCATACAAGATAAAATAATAAACAATAAACTCTAGCGTCAAAATGATTTTACGCAGAAATACTACAAAGAAATACTACTAAGTGCAGCTTTTAGAGGCAACAGAGAGAGGTGAAAGAAGTTGGTGGAATATTTGGACTGTTGTAACTTGTTATAATCTTTGGGCGAAATGCCCCATCTTATTGACGGAAAAATTTCCTGTGTATCATGGCAGTACAGTTTACCAACACAGTAAGGACAAACGCATGAAACTTCATCCAGGAAGCAGAAAAGATCTTTGACTTTTACACTGCTTAGTGTAAACATAGGCGAGAAGTAGACAAGGCCTGGGTCTCAAATCTATACTATGGACATCTTTGGTACTAGCAGTGCAATGCTTTTGTAGTTGGTATACAAGAAATAATTGCACTATATAATTCTTCCAAACATTAAACAACACAAGGCATGTACTGACAGGTGTCTTTGACTTTAAAACACTACTGCCAATTTCTTTTTCTTTTTTCAAACTCATATACAGTGGCTTGAACAGTTTTTCTGATTTTGTTATGCTTATTTGTTTTGTGAGCTGTTGCACCACTGTTTGCATTGTGGGACAGTAATGCCCACCAACACCCACACACTTCAAATCAAGTTATTTTAGTATGGTATGGACATAGTACTGTGCATACTCAAAACTAAGTTTGAATGGGATATGAGGAAGATGTTTTCAAATCCCCCAAAATGATTAGGAGATTGTCCGAGCTGGAAAGCTTCTAATTTCACATCACCCAAAGAAAACTTTAGACTTTGAGAGACATAAATGCCAACGTGCAACAGTACATGCTCATTGACCCACCTGCCTCACAGACCTTCACATTACCTGACACTGAAGCAATAGCTAAATGTTTGCTCACGCTGCTGAGATATGACCTTGGGTTCATACACTGTCAGAGCCATAGTTACCCAACTGATTAGTCGACTTGTGTAAATAATACAGTGGAGATGCTGACCAAACATATTTCAATATGCATGAGGCATTGGCTGTACAGACAGAACTCAGGGCAGCTTGTACCTGTTCAAACCATTTCAGTTCAGTGTTTTCTTGCACTGCTTCTTGCCACAAGTTCACAATCAAATGAAAATATTTTGGATGCAGAAAGAAAGAAAAAGTCATAATATCAGAATACAAATAATTGGGTCAAAAGTCTACATAAATGATTCCATTGGTCAGTAATGTAAAAAGAAATAAAAAAAATATAGAAGTGATATACTTTAGTATTCAGACCAATATGACTCGATACTCAATGTCAATGTTGCACTTAGTCATTGCGAGTTAATGGAGAAGGCACACTTTAAATCAAGGATCTCTTTCATTGTTTAAAAAGCCTTGCTTTAAAATGGCAGCATTCAATTAGGCTAAGGAAAGGCAGAAGCCAAGGAAATGACTATATACATTGCCATTTTAGTTTGAACTGAATCCCAGCAGCAATTTTGAATAAATAACCTACATATGACGAAAAAGATTGCATTCTTTAAAGCTTACACTACAACAAAGGCTGTATATTAATCTCTCTGTGTTTCTTGTGACCTCCATAAATCAGCCCTGGCCTGATCTGCTTGTCACCACTATAAATGTCTGACATTAATAACACACCTTTCTTATCTGTGTTGAGTATGCCATAAATTCAGGGTTAGTTTCTACCCTCTCTTTAGTGTATGCCTTTGACATATGGATGAAGAAAATTTGTCTGAATTCAGACTCAGTGTATAATCTTATTTAGATTAACTCGGCTGGTTCTAGGCACTCTTTACATACTGCATCTTATAAGACTCTTACAAAATCATAATGAATGACAAACAGTATGGTTTCTTAATATATAACAAAAGAAATAAAAGTGATTTAAATCTTCAATTTTGTATAAATGCTTGATAGAATATGCCAGAGTGCCATAATAATAGCATATACTAATATTATTTTTCTTTGTGCCTGCTATTTACCTAACTTCAATTTCCATCTTCTCTCGTTTGTATCTGTCCGTCAACAAATACACACGTAATTCTTTTCAGTTTCCTGTGTTAAAAACAAATCTACTATTAACTATGCCATGTCTTTTATACGCAGCCCATTATGTACATCCACAGGACTCCACTATCATATCAGGGACGTCCGTTTTGACGATGCTGTGCTGAGAGTTGAAGTACACCATGGAGAGTGGCCGCCGTTCAGTGGGAACACAACATGAAGATGCAGCCGTGTTAATGCCATTGACTTTCAGCTGGCTGAAGACAGTGGCGTGGAATGATGATGCTATGCCTGGGGAGCCGGACAGATGTTGGGGGCACTGACCCATGCAGTAGTTCATATGGTAACCTTCGGGTGCAATGATCCAGTCGTGCCACTGGATATCCTTAAACTTGATGTAGAAGTCTCTCTTGCAGCACACAGTAACATCTTCACCACAGCGAAGCGAGCGCTTCCTGAGTAAATGCTTGGAGGGGTTTTCTCTGAGACGCACCTGGGCCACCATGAAGGGCTGGTTGGGGGTGTCAGCAGAGCCATCCAGAGAGCAAAGGTTCTTCCCATCCTCATCACAGCTGACCTCCAGCCGCAGTCTGTGCTGTCCGCCATCCAGGAAGGCTTGCAGGGTGCGGGTGATGGGGAAGGTGTGCCAGTTACTCTCCTGGACCTCCAGCATCTTTTCTATCACCAGGGTGCGGTTAGAGCCTGACTGCCCACCATCTGCGGAGAGGAAAACCCGGGCAGAGAGGCGGGAGTCTCGGTGAGGATCTTCAGAGGAGCGGGCGTAGATCCACAGAGAAGACTGGAGGACCTGGATACTTTGGCCATGTTCCTGCAGAAACTGGAAGGTAAGACTGAGGCTGGCCTTATCACCAGTTTCTGTCTCATCTACGGATCAATGACAATTTAAGAAGAAGACAGACTGTTAATATTTTGGTCATTTAACAGATGTCACCTGTTTTACACAAGCATTTTCTAAAACGTGCAGATTCATGTGAAAATAAAGGACAATCAGTCAATCTACTGCCGCCTTTTTTAAAGCATTTTACCTGATCACTATATTATAGTTGACCCTTTATATAAACTAACAATAAGCACTGCAGACATATTATACTTGTGTTTACATCTAAATATTGACGACATATACTGTAGACCTAAACTTTAACCACATTTTATGGAACAATACAACTAAATAAAGCAGTGAATTTGATACACGGACACCATGACCTAATTTATGTCCATTTTACGCACTGACATGCGTAAAGCGAGGTCGGGGCGCCCTTCATACAGAGAAAAAAACAGCTTAACGGTGTAAAAGGTGAATACCAAACTTACTTATATCTGCAAAGCTGACTATTTCATAGCCTTGATCTTTGGTAGGTATATTGTTTTCTAGTTCAAGTGTACCATCCTGTCTGACGCGCCCCGAGTGCAGTTTGCGCAGGGCAGTGAGGAGCGCCACCCGGGGCACCGTATGAGTGATGTTTGGTCTCTCTTTCAGGTGCAGCTTGTCCAAAAGTTGCTGTTTGGCAAATTCTATCATCAGCCTTTGCTCCGCGTCTTTCTCCATCGCCGGCAAGCCACAGGACGCGCAGCCCGGAGAGCCACTGACACAGAGACCCTTTATCAACAAGGGTGCCAAAAACAGAAAGGCTGGGAATGAAAAAGACAGCGGCATCCTCGACTCTGAAGTAAATACATGCATTGTAGTGCTCGGCGTGTGTAGAAGAACTTCAAACTATAAAAACTAAATCAAACTAAATCTTCAAATCCTTTTCTCCTGAGTTGTTCTTTGAAAGCGACAAGTTTCCCTAATGTTGTCAGAGGTCCTCGTTCGCAGGTGGACACCAGGAGTTGAGAGAAATGAATGGTGTTTCACCCTCCTGATGGTAAAGATATCTGAGGTAATCCACAAAAAGTGGTGACACGTTGGAGGGACGCACCAATGAGCGCATCGGGGCACCGAGGAAATTACTGGCAAAGCATCTGTCTGTCGTGCTCACTCACACAACACTCACAAAACACGCGTCCACACGTAGGCTACTGAGTCACACAGTCCCAGACACAGACATGGGACAACTAGTGGCACAAAACTGACCGTACTCGCTGCTTTGCATGAACAAACCTGTATGCTTTTACAGTGATGGGCTTTTGATTAGGTTTTTTTTTTTGGTGGGATATAATGAGGTCATCACCGCCGTTTATCACAACAGGTCATTTCCGTGCCTCGTTGTCCTCTCCAGGGCAGGATACGCAACCTGCCGTCACTCTTGCCGATCAAAGTTGAAATTCAGTGCCCTTTAACCCAGTTACAGAGCACGCGGGCTTTCATAGTCACCAAACAATTGAATTGTAGTTGAGGTTTGCAGGAGTGCTCGAGGCTATGAGGTGGAGACTGCGGTATTTGAAACACGTTCCTTCATGTTCCCTGCAAGGTGGCATAAATATCATACTAACAAATCGATGCTTGCTCTGTGTGTGCGCGCGCGTGTGTGTGTGTCCCATGAAAGAGTTCTCTTTTCTGACAAATACATTGTTTTGATCAGTGTGTGTGGGGACTGCAGTCTCTGTATGCTGTCCCCCTCTGAGACCCAGTCAGTGTGTGAGCCTGTGTGTGTGTGTGTGTATGTGTGTGTGAGACAGAGAGGGAGAATAATGACTCTTACTTTGTCATGGCTTTGCCCATACAAGTCTTGTCTGTTTGGGTTCTCACAGCATTTGGCATTTGTATGCATAAAACCAAATCAGAAATTGACCTTTAAATTTACTTTGGACAGTCTTTTTGCACTGTGAACTGGCATGGTTGGCACCTGACAGCACACAGGCTGGCATGCAATGTCCTCATTTCTACTTATAATAATGTGCATAATGGCATAAAGTGCTTTTTAGCATATAGTTAGTTCGAAAAGAGTTAGAGTGTCAAGAAACCTAAGCTCATTTATGTAGTGTGGACCTGCAGACTAAAGCCACCATACTGAATTTAGTAATATGGTGATAATACATAATAGTCACAAACCTGGGTAAGGAGTCCTACAGCTGTATGCCCATCATAGTCATTTAAAAGCTACAATATGTACACATAATTAATCTGCTGGAAAATGCCATGTTGACCTATAATAGGACACAGTTTGAGCGTGTTGTCTTCCACATGGACACTTTTGTTGGGAGTTTAAACAGAACAGTAGCCTATATACATAATGCACTACAGGATATAGACATCCTGTTCTACCTGCCCATAACCGATTGCCTTTAAGCCTATAGCCTACATCTATTACATTACTGCACAACCTGTCTACATAGTTTATTAATTTTATCACTGCTGTTCACCAGTCTACCACAGAATTACATCTTATGTTCTATTTTTATTTTATTCTATTATATATGTATTCTATTTTATTTCCATATATTTAAATATAGTTCTATATTTCATCCAACATACTGATATGTTTTATCGGTAAGCATTTATGTAACTCCATAAATTAGATTTGTATATCTGTATATACATCTTCATAATAGCTGTAATATATTTACATATTTCCAAAAAGCTTAAGAATATTTCTCTCTGTACATTTTTTAAAATCTGTTATTTCAAAATATGTCTATAAATTTCAATGTCTTCTATAGATGTTTATACAAATCTATATTATGTATTATTGTCTGTCTATATTATCTCTAATAACAAATTCATGTTTTTGTCTTACATATATTTGATGTAAATCTACCATTTTATCTCATCATGTCATATATACAGTATATCTCTATAAATTTGGAATGTATATGATCTCTTTGTATGCAAATCTATAAATCTTAATTTTATCACCATTTAAATATATTTCAACATTTTCTTCAGCAATGATCTGTTTTATCTCAGTTAAACTTAACATTATTTTTGCATCTTTTCTTAGCTCCAATATTTCTACATACATTTCTGATACATACATATATTTATATATATACTGCATATGTGGTTTCATATCACTGTATTTCTACATAGATCTTCAAAGCTCTGTATATCCTAGTTATATATATATATATATATATATATATATATGTTTGATTAGTTAAATTTATCTATATCTCTATATATAATCTGTAGAAATATCTCCATGAATCTCTACATACTGCATGTATCTCTGTACATATGTACATAGGAATTGTTACTCCTATGTATTGCATTACCACATTATGTCTATGTCTCCATAATATCTGTACATCAACAACTTGGAATAATATCTTGCACCTCCATCAAACTCTGCAATATCTCTGTATATTTCTCTACTTCTTTATATAAATTCAGAAAATTATATTTCTCAAAAAACATAATAGTCTTTTTTACACAAGACACTTGTAAATGTCTTTATTTTCTATTTCTGCACCTCTCTTGGTCTCAGCTCATCAACATGTCATTTATATTTACACCAAACATGGCTGCCATGAAACACCAAAAAACACTGAATAGGACTCACCAGCAACCAACCACTGCAAGAGGAGGAGGAGGAGGAGGAGGAGGAGGACGAAGGGAGGTTTTACAAGCCGGCAGATGGACCCCCGTCCCAAAAACTGCTGGGGTCCATTTGGAGGGAGAGAGAGGGAGGAGGGTGACACTGGTTCATATTGAGAGGAGAAAAGGAGAGAGGAGGAGAGGACCGAGGGGTTCCTTCAGGGGAGGAAGAGAGAGAGAGAGAGAGTCAGTGGGACAGATGCGAGGCAAAGCGGAGCAGTGTTTGTCACTAACGCTATAGATTAGCATGTGGTCTCCAGCACAAAGCTGCAGATCAATACTGCTGCTCTGTACACAGCAGATGGCCCGGGACAGACAGACAGAGAGAGAGAGAGAGAGAGAGAGAGAGAGAGAGAGAGAGAGAAAGAGGACAGAACTGAGAGGAGGAAACGTCCTGATCACTCTGCAGCTTTATTTCCATTTTACAACCTGCCACTGACTTCAACCACAGCAATATGACTCACTGCAGAAGAACCTGCTCTCTGTCACCAACTTCTGCCTTTTCTTTTCTATTTTCTCTTCTTTTCTTTTCTTCTCTTGTCTTCTATTTTAACTCCTATTCTATTCTATTCTATTATTTTCTTTTCTTTTCTTTTATCTTTTCTTTTCCTGTCATTTCTTTTCAATTCTTTTCTTTATTTCTCTTTTCTTTCATTTTTTCCCATCTTTCTTTTCTTTATGTTGTTGTTTTTACTGTTTTATTGCCTTTGTCATTTTTTTCTCTCTGACTTGATACACAGTTTTGGTTTCTCCATATGTCAGACTGAACGAGTGAAAATCAAAATAAATTAATTCATTACAATAACATAAAATGTTAAATACATTTTTAAAAAACAAACGTATTATTAATACTAATTTTAACATGCTTTGTTATGTATGGTATATGTATAAGAATTTTTGTTATAACAAGATATAAAAGGAAACTGGCAACAGCACAAAATTAAATATAATTCAACTTACAGCAAAATAACAAATGTATCATATTCAGCTGTATTGTAATACATATTCAAAATGAATCTGGAAAATAATAAGAGCCTTGAAAGCACACAGAAATGCAGCAAATATAAAATGGGAAACCTTTCTAGATAAACAGGCTAATGATTATCTCAGTCAGTCAGGTAATGTGATGCCAGTAAGGTCTGCAAACAACTCGGAGACCAAACGTTTACTTCCTTATTTACTATCATCTTTACATGTTCTAATACAAGTGTTATTAGGTCCAAACAGTGTTCTCTCTCCACAGGAACATGATGGCACAATGCTAAACATTATATTTATCATTTCCTTTTTTTTTTTTGCAAAATGCATTGAGACAATTCACATTAAAGTATAAGTTCAGTGATATTCCGTATGTATTAACTAATAAATATTGTATGTGTGTTTTAAAGCCTGATATATCTTATCTTTAGCCACAGAGCTCCAGTGTTGTCCAGAAACTACTAAAAACATTAACACCCACCATGAACACACACACACACACACACACACACACACACACACACTGTAGTATATAATCCCCAACAAATGCACTTTTTCCTAATGTTTGAGTAACGTTTCATTAAAAACTACAGGGCCCAGCTGTTTTATTTAGAATTAAGAAAAAGATTTTTAGAAGTTTGTTAGAGATTTAAACCAGTGGATCCAATGGGATTAGTGCTAAGAACCACAGACAGGTGTTTGACACATTGTTGGTTTTGGTCTTTTCATGGGAGTAACGCCACAGTTATCCTTTAAATAAACCTACTTACATTCTATTACAAAGCCTTAGTATTTAACTGAATGGTGTTGTTTTTTTATTTTTTTCTACTACATTCAATTCAGCTTTGGTAATAATGAAATAAAATATAAAAAGAAACATACATATTTTTCTCATTTCTTATCTCTTTCTCTCTCTCTCTC